TCGGCTGGGTGCTCTCGCTTACGTGGGACTCTCATGGCTTCATTTTTGCTAGATAGATATCAGCCAATCGGAATGCTAATGAGAATATGACATCTGCTCTGATTCTGGACCGTGACCTTTGATTTGACAAAAGATTGGCTGCGTACCCTCCGGCTATATCTGCCACTTTGGGAATGAGATTCTGTAATCCTTGCTGATATGACTTGATTGCCTAGAGAAGTAAACTGCTTGTCCAATGGTTACTTGGGCATTGCCGCTACCATTCAGCACGTCTATCTTATCAGGCTGCAACTTTAGCCCCGGTACCGATCCTATTCCTGTAACCTACGTAGACAGCGATGAGAATAGAAATCCCGACGAGTGTCACACGGGCTGGCTCGTCACACCCCAAATCAAGCTGAGGGTTTCTTTTGCAGGCCGTCTAGCGCTTCCTTTATCTTTCAACAAAACCAAGAGGTCAGCGAGCAAAGCTTGTCACTCAAACATACTTCCATTCATCCCACTCCAAACCAGAAATACTGCCTTAATTATCACAATGATGCTCGAAGGAGTCGCATTCATCACCGGTGCCGCATCAGGTCTATACTATCACCTATTCATCCCACTGCACTCCTCAAGCAAATCACTTTGAATTAATACTCTACAACAGGAATCGGAAAAGCCACCGCATATGCCCTCGCCCGACACGGCGTCCGCCAGCTCGCTATCGCTGATGTTAACTTCGCTGCGACACAGGAAACCGCCCAGGACATCGAGGCCCGCTTCAGTGGAGTGAGAGCGCTCCCGCTGTGCATTGACGTGACCGATCCGGTCTCTATCCACGAGGCTGTATCAGAGACGGTGAAGCAATTCGAGCGGATCGATTATGCGGTCAATAGCGCTGGGATTGCTGGGCCGATGGCGTATTCAGGGGATCATGACATTAACGATTGGGAGAAGACGTTGGGGGTCAATTTGCATGGAGTGTGGATGTCGAGTCGGGAGGAGATTAAGGTGATGATGGGACAGGAGAAGAGGGTTGATAGGTGAGGCTTTCGATTTTTTTCCAAAGTTGGTATGATGAGGATGATGATGGGGTTCGGTGTGCTAATGCGTGATGTGTGCTGCTTCCTCTACAGTCCCCGCTCATCACGAGGTGTCATTGTCAATGTCGCATCTGCGTATGGACTTGTCGCGCCGTCGGTCAATATACCCCTTGTTGCTTATTCAGCTGCGAAACATGGTGTGGTTGGGATGACCAAGGCTGATGCTATTGTCTACGCGCCTCTGGGGATCCGGATTAATGCTATATGTCCTGGTTATGTTCAGACACCGATGATCGATCAGATGCCTGATGAAGTGATGCAGAAGGAAGTGGCGAGAGTCCCCGTGGGGAGATTGGCGGATGCAGAGGAAATTGCGGACACGATTACGTTCATGTTGTCGCCGATGAGTAGCTATATGTATGGGTCTGCGTTGGTGGTGGATGGGTAGGTCGTTCTTTTCTTGGTGGCTTTTGCTGGATGGTTTTGTGCTGACGATTATAGGGGATTTATTGCGCAGTAAGATGGGGATGGCTTGGTGGGCGTTTGCTGTTGTGTATGTGTATGTGACTATGTGTAGCCTAGGAGGGTGAGTTGGCGGTGGCTCAGACCCTCGGCTGTTATTGCCATTCTGCTCGGCTATCGGGAATGCATGCATGATAATGTCCAAAATAGTGAAGATGATGCCAATGCACAGCTGACACTTTTCGCGGGTTGCCTGAAAAATCGGAACAGCTTTCCCCTTCGGGATGTTTGCTTTTCACGTCTGCTTCCTTTCGCTAATCATAGCGCAAATGCCTGTCAGGGTGAGATTTTCGAGAGTTTTCACTTTCACTCATCAGCTCGCCAACTCACGGCTGTCAGATGACAGATGCTCTTAGGTGACTGGCTACGGCGATGCTGATTTATGATGGTTCCCATGCTGGCCTGTTCTGCAGGTAGCTATGTGAAGAGAAGCACACCGGAAAATTCTCGGTTTTTAGTCATGCTAAGACAGCAAATTCAACTACATACCTTCCATTTTCCGCATGGACCTTAAACATGCCCGATCAAATCCCGTGTTCTGGAACTCGGATAGCGGCCCGATAGCTCAGTCTTGAACAGCCCCTTCGTGGATAGTTCTATCCACAGTTCTACACAGTACGGCTCCTGCGAGGGGCCAGCTCACCATCGGCGACGATCATTGAAATAACTCAGTGGGTCTGAGCAGCAGTTCTGGTCCAGCAAGGCCAATTACTCGAAGCCCAAGACCCACAGAACTAAGATCACCCAATGAGACCGGGGCATTCCTCTTTGTATGGAGTAGCCCAGATCAGCTTCATCGAAGGTTTTCCCTCAGCCCGCCAGCTATGTGGGCTTATTGAGTCAGGAAAGCAACAAGTGCAGGCGTTCCAATTTGTCGGAACTTTTCGCCAGCATATGCTAAAAAAGCCACAGACCCGTGCACGAACACGAAGTAAGAAACAAGGCATGGCAATTAGGCCTCGAAAGCAGCAAACTCCTTTGCTTCTTCCATGCCCCTTTCGATGAGATGGGACATATAAGGCAGCGTGAGCCGCTTGGCTCACCCTTCGGTGATGGCTTGTCTGACTGCGGCTGCCATAACTTCTAATTTGGCCTCCATTGCTTGGAATGTACTCCTTCAAATTCGGACTGGCCTTATTGGCATCAGTCTTCTCTCTGCTCTCATGGGCCAATGGCAGCAATCTCCACGTGCGTGCCACCGGTAACACGGTGCGCTTCAATGTCACCTTGACATGGGAGGACTGGGCGCCGGCAGGCATCCCTCGCAAGATGATCCTCATGAACGGCCAATTTCCCGGACCGGCATTGCAGTTGCGGCAAGGGGATGATGTCGAGTTTCTGGTGACCAATAATCTTCCTGCGAATACCACAGTGCACTTTCACGGTAGGTTTTGCTTAATTATGTGCAATAAGCGAGACTGATCCCTTCAAGGTATCGAGCAGCTTGACACTCCTTGGTCCGATGGCGTCCCCGGTTTATCGCAACGACCTATCGCGCCGGGCGACAGTTTCCTCTACAAATGGCGAGCAACGAATTATGGAAGTTATTTCTACCATGCCCACACCAGAGGCCAAATTTGCGACGGTCTCTATGGCGCGATTCACATTCTCCCAGATGAATCAGTGGAGAAACCATTTCATCTAATCACGAATAACACAAGCGAGCTCCAAGCCATGCAAGCAGCTGAGCGGAGGACAAAGCCTATAATGCTGTCCGACTGGCGATTCTTGACCTCGGAAGAACTGTGGAGTGCGGAGGAAGCGACAGGACTAGATGCCATATGTATCAATGCGGTCCTTATCAACGGCAAAGGATCGATCAATTGCCCGGGTCAGCAAGCCTTCAATGAGCTGGCCAGCGCTGAACAGAAGCAACTCATTGGTAACCTAAGCCTAACTGACACGGGGTATGTGTAACACACCTGATGTGTAACCGGTATCTAACAGGTTTATCTAGATGCATTCCACCAACGCTAGTGTCCGCTCAAGGCACATATTCTCACAACTACAGCGCTATGCCGCCTTCTATGTTCTATGGCTGCCGTCCTGGCAATGGTGGTACCGAGCGTCTTCTGGTAGACCCGTCTGTCAGATATGCCAGTTATGACTTGATCAGCGCGGCTGGGGTCTCGATGTTGACGTTTTCCATTGATGAGCACCCGATGTACGTCTATGCTATTGACGGACGGTACATCGAGCCTACGTTGGTGGATGCAGTTACTATAGCCAACGGAAACCGCTACTCCGTTCTTGTCAAATTGGACAAGCCTGCCGGTAACTATACTGTTCGCGCGGCGAATTCAGGTATCAATCAAGTCATCAACGCGACTGCGGTCCTCACATACAACACACCAATCAAGTCCCAGAAGGGCTCTTCGGTGCCTTCAATCGATATCCATGGATCGCCTGTGTCTTCCAACTACACTCTGTTGAACGAGACTACGATCATGCCATTCCCTGCAGAGACACCATCTTCAGAGGTCGCCGCGACCCATATCCTCAGGATCGGCCACTACAATGCTTCCTACCGGTGGACTGAGGGCAACTCTAGTTTCCCACTTTCTCTGGAAGCCGCATCGCCTTTGCTCTTTTATCCATCTACCGCGAAGCCTGATCTCACGGTCAAGACGCTAAATGGAACCTGGGTCGACTTGATCTTCCATGTGAACGGTCAGATCCAGCCTCCTCACCCAATTCACAAGCATAGCAACAAATTTTATGTGATCGGTCAAGGCAACGGCGCGTGGAATTACTCATCTGTGGCTGAAGCGATGCAATATATCCCGGAGAATTTCAACCTTAAGACTCCCCAGATTCGGGATACCTTCATCACTCCGGCCGCAGCGACCGAAGACACGTGGCTGGCGATCAGGTACCATGTTGTAAACCCCGGTGCATGGCTGCTCCATTGCCATATTCAGGTGCATCTGAGTGGTGGCATGGCGTTGGCGTTGTTGGATGGTGTGGACGAGTGGCCTGTGGTTCCAAAAGAATACCAGCTCTCTGATTCCTGATGGTCGGAGATCACCTATCACTAGTAGTAGTGATGATGTGAAAAGCCTATACTGTATATACACCACATGTTTGTTTATATGATGACTGCATGCTTAACGTATTCCCAAGAGGCCTAGTTAATCTAGTACCATTTTAGCTAAAAGATAAGCACCGTCTGAGTGACGTAGGAGTAAGCCACAGGTTCCAATAGAAGGATGATTAAAAATCTGCGTAAAGCTTGGGATAGTAAGCCCATCCAATGACGATGATTCCAAAGGAGTTAAAGTCAAATGCTAAGCAACGCGACCATCGCAAGGGATACTCGATCGGGTTAGGGGTGAGATGCACGTGGACGCGGGAATCGCTGCGCCTCAGGCATCTCGGCCAGCAGCGACCAGGCTCAAACGTTCTCCGAAGTCCTCACTTCATTCATATTCCGCGCTCCTCGTCGGAAAATCCCAGACATGAAGATCATCAGATAGTTTTGTATTTGCCGTGACACTATTACTACTACTACTACAAAGTGTCTGCTGTACAAAGGTTGGAACCCTGGCCTCCCCCATCCCCTGAGCTTCGCACTGGTTACCCGATTCAGCTGCACGTCAAACTGGCTCCCGCTATCCTGCAAATCTGATCAGGTCAGAATGTATACTCATGCTGTATTCTAGTTTGATTAGTCTACAGCGCCACATTGCATTCCGTGCATACCCCGCCCCTGTCTAGTATTAGAGATGGTTTTCTGCGGGAAACCAAGCAAGGGCTGCGGCGAATGCCGGTCTCGCAAAATCCGGTGTGACCAAGCCCGCCCTACCTGTTCACAATGTGCCAAGGGCAACCGGGTCTGCCCCGGATACCGTGACCAACTATCCTTGATGTTTCGGGATGAGAGCCAGCAAGTTATCCGGAAAGCGCGGACCGGGACAAAGGCCCGCAGAGCCAAGTCTTCTAGTAAGACCGACCCTGGTAGTACTAGTACCTGTAGTGCTACAGGTACCCCAGCTACTACTGCTTCCCCTAGTGGCAGCGGCATGGTAGCTGCTAGTCCTAGTCCATCCCCTGTGTGTTCCCCGGCAGGCAGTAATCCATCTTTATCGACCGGCGATGTGGAACCGCCTGAGTTCGATGGTCCTGTGTGTCTTTCCCCACAATTTGTCGAGCAGCACGCCATACAACAGCCCCTAGTGTTGCAGCCATCGTATCTACCGACAAAAAATGAAGCTATTTCCTATTTCCTTCGACAGAATGCTTGGATCGGATCGTTCTGGTCGAAGATTGAAGCAAATCCCGATATCTTGCGCAGGGCATCGGCAACTAGCCATGACGCCCTGATGACCAGCTTGGCTTCTGTTGGCATAGCAATGATCTCGCGTATCAGGAAATCTGAACCGATGAAAATAGCCGCAGAGAAGGAGTATGGAAATGCTTTACAGCTCCTCACCACGGCCGTTGCAGATCAACGGCAAGCTAAGAACAATGCAACGCTTGCCGCAGTGCTTATGTTAGCTATCTTCGAGGTAAGTCGACCTTGCTTGTTTCAAGTCCCGATTCTAATGTTTTCCAGGTGATTACCAGTAGAGGCTCTCGCTTCATTGACAGTTGGACAAACCACATACGTGGCGCTGTAGCGCTGCTAGAGCTGCGAGGTGTTCAGCAGCTCCAAGACCCAGATGGGCTGCAGCTCTTTTTGCAGCTGCGATATCAAATCGTACGTTCTAAAAGTCTACTTCGCCCCTAAATCGAGCGTTTGACTAACTTATATTGTGTAAAAGATCATAGGCTGTCTCCAAAGGGAGGCGCGTGTGCCCGACTCAGTTCTTCACTGTGTCAAAGTTGCCATGTTTCTTCGGCCGCATACAGTGGCCTATGGTGACCGATTGATTAACATTATGGGCCGGCTAGCAAACCTGCGAGCTGACATCAAGGAAAAGATTTTAACCGACCGCAAGAAAATGCTTGAATCTGCATACGCCATCGAGGCTGAGTTAATGTCATGGCTCACGTCCTTGCCAGAGAACTTCCCCTATGCCACCATCGAGGATCCCTGGCCTACTCTTAAATGGGGTCCCAAGCCTTATAACAACGTCTATCATGTGTACACTGATTTTTGGATCTGCAACTCGTGGAACCAATACCGAGTCGCACGGATCATTACCAGCGATCTCATTCTGACATGTATCCGGGAGTTGAACGCCGGCTCACACCTACCTGCCGATCTTGTCACGCATACCTCTCAGATCCGCAATACTGCCCGACAGCTCGCCAGCGATATTTGCGCTAGTGTGCCTTATTACTTTACCGATAGTGTCTTTAAGCTCGCCACTGGACAAGCGGAGATGAGTTCCCGCTATGAGATACCCTCACAACAAGGCTTCGTCCGCGGTCTGGTGCTCCTCTGGCCGCTGTCCATGGCAGCCGCAACACGAGGGCTGAATCACCCATTACGGCACTGGGTGTTGGACTGTCTCCAGCTGATTGGACATGGCATGGGTATTGATCAGGCGCTGGCCTTGATTGAACTCCTGATGACTGAAGATGGTGTCTTTGGCACACTGGCCCTCCCGGAGGACAATAGCCTTTTAATCGGCTCGACCGGTGCTAACTTCAGCACTGATAATAGTGGCAAACACTGGACAGGAGCCTCGCTAAGTACATATACCCCTCAGGTGGGGTGAGTGTCTGTGACAATACCCACAGTGGCAGGCCATGTGTGAATATTTCCGATTAATATGTCTACATAGCGTTGATACGGGTTGTCTAACATCGTCGCACATAGTATATACAAATAGGCCTTCACATGAGGTCAAATCTACATAGCAACAAGGATAATACATACCTCAAATCTAATTCAGCTGATTAATTTACTAACCACTCAATCTTCTGGTCTGTGTGCCGTTCCCAGCCTGTCAAAACTTAGTAGTAGTACAGAATTGTGCCCGATGGTGGCTGTGCCCATGCCAACAGCCTGGCTCAGTCTAAGCCTTACACTGCTTTTCTGCGCAACGCTAAGCCCCTCCCCCGCAACCACACCACAAGCGGAAGGCTGTGCACGGAACCTTCCATCTAATTGTCAAAGTATCCATTCATATTCTTCACAGGGAAGCGATAAGCCAAGTAGTAAGCAAGGGCGGTTCTCTACACAGCCCCCCGCTTCCCCTCTAATCTTCCTCCCACAAACTCCGATTTGCCCTGTGCTGGTATCCATGCCTCATGCCTGCCTGCATACATGCATGCATGCAGTATACCTGCCCCGCTAGCTAACTATTAGATAGTAAAGAGAACATCCATCCTTGTAAGGCTAGATTATGAATCACCGAACTGGCAAATAGACTACGCCCTACTACTACTAAGCTACTAGCTAGACTGCTTACTTTTGCGGTACATGCAGAATCTTCCTCCCCACTGTGGAATACTATTAAGTGGGATGTAGGTTTTACTCCTTACACAATGAGGCAGTGTTACACGGCAATATCGTGGTGGCACATCCACATACTCCATATAACTGACTGTGGAAATTAAATGGGCGGAGCAAACCTTGAAAGTCACACATAATGGTATTCTACTACTACTATCTGCCTTAGGCTCTCCTGGGTTTTCTGCCTTGTGAGGTGTGCAGCGCGCGCTTAGTTCCGTGGATTATGTCGTATGCACGTATACAATGCTTGTTTTTTTGGTTTCGTTGTAACATGCGTACGGAATGATGATGTGGGTATGGAACTTATAGCATAGAAGTATTGTGATATGGTGTCGTAGATCCGGAGGATACTACTACTACTACTACTACTAAGTAGTACTGTGGGAAGTTCCGGTTCTTGAGATTCTTGAGTCTGCCTTGGTGTGCTGGAGGTCGGTAAGTTAGTATATATAGTTTGTTGGTTGCGGCGCTGGCGTAGGTAGTAGTTATTAGTTGTTCAGTTGCTAGTAGTGACTGGCAAAGTGAAGATCTCACCTGGCACTGACATCAGCCTTACTACTTACTTACTTACTTACTTACTTACTTGTTCGAACGGTATTGTGTCATTGTCAGTTTCGACCCGTCACACCTTCCTGCCTTTTATTTCCTTCTTCCTTTCTTCCTCTCTTCTGCATCCTTTATTTACTATCAACATGCCCGGACCCTTTATGCGAAAGAGCATCGACTCTTTATCAAATCTCGTCAGAGGGAATTCGCTACGGCGTCGTCAGACTCAAGACCAAGACCAGAACCAGGAACAAGAGCAGTATCAGTACCCGTATCAAGCTCATACTCGAACACCCGCAACTAGTGACCAAGAAGCATCAAATATGGGCCACTCTCATTCTCGACAGAGCAGGCATCGTTATGACCTCTCCGGCTCTGTGAACAGAAGTCCAGTGTCCCGGTCAACTGGAAAAGCAGCCATGAATAGCAGCCAGACTCAAGATCCCTGGGCCCCTCCGCCGTATGAACCGCAGGCTGCTGCTCCTGCTTCTTCGACCATCTCGGGAAGCAGCGATTCTCCATACTCTTTCCTGCGGGAGTTCGATACAATATTCATCGTGGATGATAGTACGAGCATGCTGACGGGTAACCGCTGGAAGGAGGCTGAGAATGCTATTGCTGCTATCGCGCCCATTTGTACGCAGTATGATCAGGATGGAATTGACGTCTACTTTCTCAACCATCGTCGCCAGGGAGCTGAAAAGGTGAAGGGTGGGTATATGAATATCAGAACAGCAGATGATGTTCGTGAGATCTTTGGGAGTGTGTATCCAAATGGTCCGACGCCTTTTGGCCGACGACTTTATGAAATCCTCAATCCGTACATGCGAGACCTGCAAAAGGCGATCTCGAAGAGCGATGGATCGCGTGATTCGGCTCAACTCATGAAACCACTCAATATAATTGCGATTACGGATGGGGCGTTTACAGATGATGCGGAGAGTGTCATTGCAGGAGTTGCGCAAAAGCTGGACGAGAAAAAATATCAGGCAGTGCCTTGGCAGGTTGGAATCCAATTTTTCCAGATCGGAAATGATGCCCAGGCAAGGGCATATCTGCAGGAACTCGACGACAATTTGGCTGATATGCAGAAAAAAGACAGTCTTCGTGATATTGTGGATACCGTGCCGTGGAGGGGTGATCAGGGGCAGACGCTGAGCGCCGATGGCATTCTAAAATGCGTCCTTGGCGCCGTGTCCAGGAAATATGATAAACGCGAAGCGTCGTTTCACTGCTAAGGAAGATCGGTTCTGGTCTTCTCGTGCGCTCGTCCCTTATCATCTACACATTCGTTGCCTTCATGGTTTTGCTTTTCATCGGCCCTTTTAGGGGTAGGCCATGGCTTGAGTCTAGACTCTATCCTTCATCTTCTCGACCCTGTCGTTTGTGTAACAGCGGCAGGGGTTGGGATGAAACGCGTTGCAGCAAGCGCCGTGTTGCCGCCGGCTTGCCCGAGACCAGAGCCCGTATTAGAATAGGATTTTGTGACTGGTCAATCTTCCTCAGATAGTGAGAATCAAATCGGTTGCTCTCGGCTTTCTTTGCTTTTTTCAAGTGTGCGTAGAAGGTAATGATTAGCGCTTTATCTGTACTACTTGTGAACTACGAAGCCCAGCTGTGGCCCCCCCCCGGGTAGTCCCGCTAAAATGAACTGTCCACGACTCAGTCAAGCAGGGTTAACCGATTGGTTGGTCGGATTATATGGAGAGGTGAGTGCGTCGTGCTAGGTATCTAGTGACAGCCATCTGTCAGAGGGGGGCTAGTCTAGAGGATACGGTTTACGGTCATTAGCCTTCGACTATTTGTTGTCCTCCAAACCTTGAATTTCATGGGAGGCCGATCGATCTTAGTTGCTCGGCAGCCGGGAAGTTAGTAGTCCAAGGACGGATACTGACTGGTCGCCGGGGTGCAGCCAGAGGCGCTGAGCAGGCCATTGATTCTTGATTTAAATGAATCAGCGACGGAGGGAAATTGATTGGCTAAACAAGGCCAGTCAGTCCCCTGGGCGCGTAGACGTGCTGGTCCGTGAGGATGGATCACCGGCCTTGTCCTAGACCCCTTTCCTAGTGCTAGTTCCGTTAGTACGATGGAAACACTGGGTCGGGAGGAGATGAAAATTGACAAATCACCTTCGGATTGACCGGCAGTTTCCTCGTTTATGTGTTGCAATTCGGCTGGTCGTCGGGACAATGGAGACAACAGGGAGACAATGAAACCGGGGGGAAGATGCAGGAGAGATGCAGCAACAATGGCTGGCGGCTGCAGCAGAAGGATGAAGGGAAGAAGCGACAGGCAGGCAGGCAGGCAGGCAATCAAGTTCAGCCCTCAGGCTGCCAGGCACGGTATCGTATCATTGGGCAAGATTGTTTCTTTTCCTCGAGCACCACCTGCGGGTCTCTCACGTGGTGTGGAGAAATGAGATCGTCGTGTATGCGTAATGTATTGATGGTGTCCCCTCAGGGTCGACTGTCTGTTTTCATCCATTGACAATGGGATTGGAGATCTCGTCATGACTGACTGAAATAGTGGGCTTGACATGGTGAACGAGTATAGGGTCAAACTTCGGCTATGAAGAATAGCCTTTTTGGCCTGTCTTGCAAGGTATCCAGGAGGGATTCTTTTACTTTTGTCATTTGGAAACTCACCAGCCTCAAGTGGCGAAGCAAGGTTCAATACGGTACGGTTGTGTTCAAGCACCAGCCACCGCACCCCCAAAGGGGTAATACAGCGCGGGTCCGTCGTGGAATTTCCACCCGCCCGGCGTCTCTCCAAGCAACGCTCGAGTCAACCCGAGTCAATCAAGTCAACCACTGGATCGGTTTCGTGGCTGGCTACTTCTTTGTGATCCATCGATATTAATCACTCGGGCTTCTTTCGGTCTCCACCAACTAAGTTCCGACTAGACGGCAGTAGTGGTCCCCATGGACTCCTGTGTACGCTGGTTCGCCAGGAGTGATCAGCATCTTTCCCAGTCTTTGGCCGGTGGATCGAATCTCCCAGGAACCATGCTCGGATCTCATCGTGCCTTTTTTCCCCTTAACCGGCCGTCCCTCTCTGGTTGCCATGAAAACCTTCTCCTCATCCATCCTCGCTTGCAGGGGCGATCCCCTTTGTGACGTGGTTATTGCCCTGTCCAGTGGATCTTTGATAAGCGCGCCGTGCGAACGATCGATTCAGCTGCTGAAATTCCACCGCAAGTCCACGCACTGTGCATCGAGTCTATTTGGTGACTATCATACTACCGATTGGATCTGCTCCGGCCGTCCTGCGCGCCCTGAAGCCGGTTCAGCCTGGCTGTCACCGACTTGTCTGGACCACGTGTGAAATCTCTTAATAACTCAATAAGAAGTCTGGTTCAAAACGTCCGACTCCTGCAGCAAGCGCCGCAATTTTTGCTCTGCCTCTCATCATCGCCCTTGGGCTCAGTCTCCGCCTTGTCGGCGCTTCCTACCCTCCATCACCCTGCATCATTGGTCGTGATTGAACGTTGCAATCTCCCGACCAAACTTCCAATTTCGACTTCCGCATCCCCGCGGCTAATGATACAGTGATCTCCAACAGTCATTGCCCACTGTTGGTGTCAGAACGTCCCCTACATTGTTATGGCACGGCGCTTCTGAGCCTCTTCCTCGAGTCTTATATTGCCTCTCAACCGCGCGGCCAGGCGCAATCCTTTGAACTGCACGGCTCGAGCCTTTTGAAAAGCACAGCTCGACTAGGCTTACAGAACACTCCTTCAGTATTGCGCATTTTGACTCTGTCCTGGCTGGCCTTGGACATTGTTCATCGTCTCTCCTTCAATTGTATAATACGCGCTGCTTATATCACGGACCTCGCTTCAATTGCGGTCTTCTAGAACCCAACCACTAATTCATACTCACTACCCAATCGACGACTGTCAACTTGCTTGGTGCGAGAATGGCTTCCACTACTTTGATGACGTTCCTCCTGTAAGCGTACTTTGTGACGATATAGAGGGACCGATGCTGATATCCATCATAGCTCCACCCACCCTCATGTTCAATCGGTCAAGCTGCTGGGGTCATGGGATAACTTTTCACAGCCCTATATCATGGAGAGAGATAAGCGTGTTGGTGCGGGGCAGTGGCGAGGATGTCACACCTTTAGTAACATCGTCTGTGATGGCTCGCCAACGCACATCATGCCAGCACGCTCCGGAGGACTCAAAATGGGCGGTACTTACTGGTACTATGTATGTTGTTACCTTACCTCTCCCTCTCAGAACATTGATCTGACTTTCGGTCTAGTACTTGCTGGACAATGATGTAGAATATTATAATGAGGCAGAGCCTGTGACAACTCACTGTCCTCTCCTTCCGGGTCAACCAGTCAATGTTCTCAACGTCCCAGTCATCCTCCCGGATACATTTCCCACTCATACACATGCGAGGAGTCCGAGCTCACAGAAGGCGGATCACCGAACCATGAACCCCGAAGACAAGTACATGAATCCTCGACAGCCACCTAAGCCAAAGCTCCCCCGTCTTCGCACGTCTCCTCCTTTGTTGCAACAACCGGCTCCGGCTTGGTCATTCAGCACATCTCCTCTCGGTATCATCACTCACAGAGGCGCATCGCAGCCCAGTAGCGCAACTCCAAAGGCGAAGGGCCTGGACGCACCGAGAGCAGCCGGATGCAAAGCCGCTCGCTCCGTGTCGCCGCCTAGATCAAGGGGTCTTCGCGCCGCCTTCCGACATTGGAATACATCTTCACCCGATCTCGGATCCACAGAAGATGACTGCCGGGCTAATAAGCCCGCTGCAAATCATGGGCTCAAGGGTCTGTTTGGGAGGCAAGAAGAGCATCCCTACCTCGCGGTCCATCCGCCTGCTACTTTTGAGAGCTCCCCACTTGCTGCTCCCAGCAACGTTTATCAACATTCGACTGATTCCATCCGCACACCCGGGAACTCTGGAGAACGCCGCTCGGTGCCTTTGACAATCCAGGACCGACGAGCGCTCAACTCAAAGATTACAGAGAGTGGCTCTCACAGAACTCCTCTCACCGTGCAGACCAAACCAGGAAGCGAAAGTTCCGATAAACTCCCGACTCGGGAGGGACAGCGGCATATAGTCAGAAGATCACTTCCCATGGAGTCACCAGCGATGCTATCGACAGCTATTGGGCCCTCAACGTTCGATCTTGCTACAACTCCAACCGGCTTCACGACCGATGAGAAGAGACTCCCGACATTGCCCAATACGCCGTCATCAGTCATGGATGAAGCGCTTCGGGACATCGATGAGCAAGAGAAGGCTCTCGATCCTGAGGCTCTAGGCAGCCATTTTTCGGATTTCACCGATACTGAGTCTGTGGCTGGCAGCTCCGTGTGTGAACGGAGCCACTTTTCGGAGTGGACAGTGGATACGGATGTTCTGTCTCCCAATTCTATGGCATGCTCAATCACTGTCACCCAAGATGCCCAGGTACCTCCCACGAACGACTTCGCTGGTACAATGGACTTCCTCAAAACTTCTATACCTGCAGATCTGAGTGATCCAGACACACCCCATCTTACAGTCAACTCCCAATCAGCGGCCACTTCCATCGCAGGTGATTCGCCTCGCTTGGATCTCCCTCTTCCTCGACTTTCCATTTCATTATCCCCCTCTGATCTTGACATCCCCGGTCTTTATATCGATGACGAAGATCGCGTGGAAAGTAACCCCAAGCGACACGCTGCCTTTTTCGGCGCGGACGAGTCGATCAAGGGTCTTGGCCTTTTACAGAGCCCCGACCCCTCGACGCTGCAATTTCCCGAGGATGTCACCAGCGACAAGACCCCCCGTAATTCCCAAGGCTTGGCTGCACCCTGCAAGGATCCTGAGCGCTTTAGCAGGGTTTCGTTACTGGGGCAATCTGCAGCAATGCGCGAAATGATGGATGAGCTGAGCTATCTGAAGCACATGATAGATTCTGGCTCAGGTGCAGAATTCTGATACTATTGATGAATGGCAAGACATTGCTCATCGCACTTGTAAAAATACACTTTGAGGGGGGCACGTGGTGTGTGGATATATTACGTATATAATTGTGACGTTGCATTTTAGCGATTGGAACAGATATTTTATGATGGGCAGGTGAATAAAAACCAGATATTACACTTGTATATGATTACAGTCTTTCATGCTATAAGTTACTAGTTTTCATACCTCGTTAATGATGCTCTCTTCCCCAGTAGATCGGGAGCGGATCAACGCGAGCCAAACCAACGCGACAAACACCCGCATGCCAAGAGTTTCGGCCATCCGCAAGGGAAATCCAACCCAGACAACTGAACAACAGGTCTGGACACGCGAAGTACAGGCATTCACAGCAATTTATTCCTTTCCCGTTTTATAATGGACTGAGGTCCCGTCCAACTAATATGGCTGAAAATCATGATTCCCGGCCACCCCATGAGCCGCAGCTCACGCCTGTCGGGGAGAAGTCCTTACCCGCAAAATGTAAGGCAAACATTCTGACTTACTGTCCCACGATGGACCTCATCGCTCTGTCGAGTGAGGACGATGAACTTCTTGTCTACCGCCTGAATGGGCAGAAGGTTCTTGGGGGCAATTTTAAAGGCGATCCCTATCTTGATGAGGATGATGGCGGTGGCGAGATTCGAGGATTGAAGTGGAAGAATACCGGTAAGTTGTTTACTTCGTAGTTGAGTAACTGGACGTGCAGCTCTTCTGGCTCATCCCATCTTTTTGCATTGGAGAAGACTGACATATTGGCAGGTCATCTGCTGTCTGTGGCTTGCGCTGACAACACTATCCGGGTCATCAGCGCTTACAGCGGGAAAACCGTTCACCATTACCCTGCTTATCAGTCCGACGGCGAATCATCACCGCCTGTCAAGGTGACCTGCTTAGGCTGGGGAGTGAATTTCACCGACAGCAAAGCAGCAAAGAGGCACTTGCACGACGCTGCTGGGCAAGTCAACGTTGATGATCTCTTGTCCCCGGACAATCATCCGTCCAAAGCAGCAGCTTTACTTAAAGCTGACTTACCGAGAGAGCTAGCATTGCTTGATGTCGAGTCTTCACTCCCCAAACTAAGCACATTGCCAGCAACAGGCAGCGAGTGGGTCTCTCGTTCTTTTGTGCGACTGACGCAGCTAACACAGCATCTAGTGATGATGTTTTCAGTTCGCGGGCGTCTATTGACGCCATATTCCATGCTATCTCAAAAAGCGCTAGCGACGCGGTGGATGTATTACTAGTAGGCTTTGATGACGGGACAATCCACCTGCGCATCTTCGACTGTTTCGAGATTGGCTCTCTTCAGGTCGGAGGTTCTATTGGCAATTCGGGCCCCTGCGAGATCCTTCGTCATGCCTCGCATCCACTCAGCTCGACACACGCATTATTGGCGCTGGCGCCAGAGGCTACCTCGAGCTCTTTACATCTCCTCACACTTGATCTTCGCTTCATTACCCGGTCGGGGAGATATCTCTCCCTCCTGGCGCACAAGACAACACAGCTACAGAATCTGCTGCGATATATCAGTCAGGTGCAGAGGCAGATTGAGCTTGAATGGAAAAATGCACAAGAATTGCCGACAAGGTACATGCGCAGTGTCAATGAGGACTTGCAGGAGAAATGCCACTGCGACTTTGTTACAGCTGCGTATCACCTGGTTGTTACTGGGGATTGCTTCGAGCCATTGAGGGAATTTTTGGTGGATATTGTTGGCGAAAGGGTATGCTTATGATGTGCTTTGCATATATCGTATTTATATTGACCATACTACAGGGACACAAGAGATGGGAGAAGGCTGTTTCCAGCGGCTATGAAAATGTCCGCCGATTAACCCACGAATGCCTTCTTCCCGCTTTAGAGAGATGTGAAGTATTATTAAGCCGGCTGATCGGGCTATCAAAATTCTATAAACTGAGTGAAGTACTTGGCCTGGAAACATCAGACCTAACGGCCATCGTGGAGACCCTCGATTGTCTTCACCTTCTCGCCCATCACATACTAATCCATGCCAATGAAGAATTGACCCAGTTTAGCTGTTTCTCTAGATGGCTTCGCCATGAGATAGACATGCAAAGTGCGGAACCGATGTCACAAACCCTAGAGGAATTGATGGAGAAGACAGACATGGTCGAATATCCACAGACGTTGAAATACATACGCGGCGCTCTTACCAAGAGCAAGTTGCGGAACTTCATTCAGCAGCTGCCCATGCTGGGGATGCCAAGGCCACCTACCACATCATCAGATAAATGGGCTCCAACCGGCCAGGATAGGTCTTTCTATGACACATTCAGAAAGCTTCTCGAGCAGAGTGAGAGCCCCGAGGAGGTCAACTCGGTTGAACTACCCAAGATGAACGACCTTACGAAGCGATTGGGGCTACAGTTCGAGAGGGTCTTTGGGCAGATCGCACTGACACAACGCCGAGGAATACTTCATCGTTCGCCTTTGGCTCTTCATCCCGACTGTGATAAGGATGTTATTGATATTGTCATGTGCAACGAGGTAAGACATTGCAGTGGTTTATGGTGAGACTCATTGCTTATCAGGTATGCAGGATACCGAAAAGAAGGATCAATGTGTGATCTACATTGCTACTAGATCCATCAAAAAAAGGCATCTGCGTAAGCAAACTCCGGCATATGAAGGCCCTACTATGGTGGCGTACTGATTTATCCAGTGTGTTTCTATCGTGTTGAGTTGGACTCCGAAAATGGTGTTAGTTCTACTCGACGAATCTCTACCGGAGCATTCGATCTACAGGAAGGAGAAGTCCGACAGATTCAGTTTGTTGAGGATGGTACAGTCGTAATCTTGTGGTCGAACAATAGTATGCTTTCCCTATTTGTCCGTGGACTTTTCTCTTTCCAGATACGCTAACTTCCGCTGTAGAAGGAACCTCTTACCTTCTTGGCCTTCCTTTCCAGCCTGCTGCAACAATGAAAACTAACACGGTTGCCGAGTCTCTGGCGCCTTGTCCCGTGGACTATCATGATAGCCTGCGGGAACCTACATCGCCCGACCCGGTTACATCCGCAACGGCCGTGGACCTCATGTCTCCAGATTCTTCGTTTGCGGGTCTTATCAAGCATACCTTCACTGGGGCTAAAGCGAAAGCAAAGCCCATTAGAGTTGATGTCAATGGCAGACGCGGTCGCCGGGCGATCTGCGTACTGTATGGCGATGCTATGCGATATGAAGTGTTAGACCTAGATGCGGCACTGGAGGATGAGGACGAAGAGGAAGACGAGGAAGACATGGAGGAACTGGAGGAATGATAATAATAACAACGACAAGACACGTCCATCTGCTCTCTTCTCGCCTCAATTATCTTTCCGTGCACGGGGCACACACAATCCGAGAATACTTTGTTTGCTAATTTCCACTACGTCATGTCTCAGCTTCCGGTTCCACTAAAATTCCAATCAGTTGGGAAAAGATTCCCTCGATCAACACCAGAGCTGATGAAGACCATCTGTCGATCAATGCTCCCATCACGTTAAGGGGAAAGGTTCAGAGTACGGAGTACTATGGAAGAGCTTTATCTTAGAGCAAGGCACCGAAGCCAGGTTGTCAGGATAGTTGCGGCTAGTTTTTCTGACGATCCACGACGACCACCCGCGAATGATAGACACACAGAACCCAAAAGAATCTTTATGGAACAGCCACCCGGCACTTTAAGTGGACAGATATAGTTAGTAAAAACAATGCCTTGAAAAACAGCCGTGATGATTTGTGCGTTGGGGGGTTGACGCCCTGAGAGATGGAGCTGGTCGCCGGGGTCACAGTGAGTGGATCGAGGACCACTTCTTCAAGCAGCAAAATCAAAACAAGCAAACCCGTGGAGGGGAAAAATTTGGGTTGCGGGAAAACACAAAAATGACCAGCAAAGAGAGAGGGAGGGAGGGAGGGGCACCTCAGGCAGGCAGCCGGCAAGAATTGGTAGTTCCCCATTACAAAATACGGTAATTTTGCAAGGTGAAACTGGTGACGACAAGACCAGACCACCGCCCAGGATTTGAGGGAGGGGAAAGGAACAGCAACTTCTCTGCAGCCCAGCATGCACCCCTCCCAGGAAAGTTTGTAATATTGTCTGATAGTACTTATCTACTAGCTATGTGATAGCGGAATGCAATAGAGAGGTTCTGCATAGTAATAATATAATCTCCTGGGATCATATTCGCCTTGTCCTCTATTTTTCTCCGGTCGCTACGAATCTGGACGAGTCACTGACTAGCCGTCACCGACCACCAATTGGTCACGTGAAATGACTAAGCCTAAGAATTCCGCGGGTCTCAGCCAATAAGAGAGCAGGATTGACAGGGCTCTGGCGGGCGCTGACTGGTCGATTTGCAGTTGCTCGTCCATTCTTCTGCTGGAACTGCAAATTGAAGGGAATCGCCCTCACATTATTATTGATCCCTCTCTTTCTCTCTCCTTCTCGCTTCTTGCTACTTCCTCCCCCCAGTACTTCCTTTTCTCCCCTCTCCTCAATCCGCATAGTTTCGACATCCTTGTCTTCTTGTCCTACACCCCGTCCGTGTCTGTTTATCCGACCCTGGGGCTTTCCTTTTACCTCTTGTTTTGCTTGGTCCTGGCGTGCACCACCGCCGTCTTTTCGCCCTCCTCTACCCCCCCGGAAGACCTGGTGCATGCCTCGTCATAATCCACAAAAGCAACCTTTACCCTCCATCCTCCAGAGATAATCCCCATCTCCTGTCCACACTACCACTCTTTTGTTGTGGACGGTTTTTTAAATAGCCTGGTTCTGCCTGCTTTGTTTTCTCTTTGAGTCAGAACAGCTCCTTCACCTTCTCTTTTTTTATTGTTCTTTTCGCTTGTGATCGCTTGCTTCGGTTTTCCGCATACGGCAACATGAACGTCACTCAGGTGTTGGAGAGTACCCTCTCGCCAGGTAAATTCTGCTCCCGCCCCTTCTTGTATTCAGATTATGTTATTAGATTTAAGGCATCAGATTCACTAA